AACCCAAAAAAGTTAAAATAACTAGAGAACTTCACAGAAGTTCCAAGAATTTCATAAGAATTACGGGAACGTCAGAGAAGATGCCGAAAACATTTTAATAACTTCAGGAAAATCCAAAGAAGTTCAAAAAAGTTTGAAAATTTAAATTGATGATCCGCAAGCATACTTCAGGGAAGATCAAAGAACTTCAAGACAGTTCTATTAACCACTGGAAATTTTTGGTAACTTTTAAGAAGTTATGTGGAGTTCAGAGTAGTCCAGAAAATTTATGAAAGTCCAGATAAATTCGAGGAAGTTCAGAAAGCTTCAGGGAAGTTGAAAGAATTTCAGGGAAATCCAGAGAGCGTCTAAAAGTCGATAGAAACTCACAAAAGCTTGAAAACAAAAGTTCAGGGAAATCCCGAGAATCTCAGAAACATTACAGGAACTTTAAGTCCGATAAATGAACATCTGGAAGATTTTGCGAAGTCTAGAGAAGTTCCGACAATTTTAGGAAAATTCACTCACATGGTGTGATATGTCCTATAAGGAGTTTCGTTCTAAAACAACATTGTATGAGAGACGTCATTATGATTGGAAATCTTTTAAATACTTCCTGATCAACCTGCCTTCTTGGGAGAATATCTGAGATACGCCATACGAATTTTTTAACAGTTGATGTTTATCAGATCTTCATCTTGATCAACCTGTAGCCTTTATAAAAATAATCAGACTTAATTGAAATTTTTGATCAACTGTAGATTTTTTGAATAATTCACAATGTGCGGTCAACCAGCTATCTTGGGGAAATATCTAAGAGACGTAATTTAATTTTGTTTTGAAAAGTTGATGATCTTTAGAATGTACATCCATTCATCTCAAATCTTAACCTTTGCGTGCCTAACGTCTAAATTTGCATAGATTTCAAAATGCAATTAGCTCTTAAAACATACTTTCTCAATCTTTTTCTTCACAACAAATTGCATTTCGTCGGGAATCTATTGAAGTTTTTGAATCCATCTGAAAACATTTGGATCAATACATGGTTCCGGAGTTATTCCGGTTCCCGTTGGGGTCACTTTTGGTCGGCATTCGGCTTTACTGTTCTGTAATAAGTATACACACGATGAACATCATGTTTTTTTCTCTCAAATGATGTAATTGGACCAATGACAGCTATACTGATGTTCCACGGTCACATTGGGCATCCCGGAAATGTTCCTGTGTCCCCGGGGAAGTGGCCAATTCTCGACAAGAACCAAAACCTATCGTTGCGACATATCAAACTTCATGATTTTACAAATATTGGCCGGCAATGGCCTTATTGAAAGTCAACGGTCACACTAGCCCTCCCGGGAATGTTCCAGGGCCCCCGGGGAAGTGGCCAATTCTCAACAAGAACCAAAACCCATCATGTGACATATCAAACTTCATGATTTGACAATTTTTGGCCGGTAATGGCCTTATTGAGAGTACTCTTGCCTTCCCAGGCATGTTCCGGTGCCCCCGAGGAAGTGGCCAATTCTCAACAAGAACCAAAACCCATTGTGCGACATATCAAACTTCATGATTTCACATATCTTGGCCGGTAATGGTCTTAATGAGATTCCACGTACATACAAGCCCTCACGGGCATGTTTTAGCGCCCTCAGAAATGTTACGGTGCCCCCAGAAAGTGGCCAATTCTCGACAAGAACCAAAACCCGTCGTACATACTAACCAAAATCGACCGCGTTACGAAAAGTGGTCAGGTTTTGACCACTTATAACTCTGTCAATAGCGGATGGATTTTAATTCTAAACAAGCCAATCGATTGGTAATTTTTCTACGAAGCTGCCTAAACTTGAATACTTTATCAATTTTTAATAGGTCACTTTTGAAAAATAGTGGTTTCCCTAACATAGTCGCCAAATATTGATACCGAGCACGTAATCCTACGTCAAATTGTCAGTAAGGCTATTACCAGTTTATTAAATGATAAACTGTGCTGTGTCGCACGACCAGTTTTAGTTCTTGTTGAAAATTGACCACTTCCCCGAGGGTCAACGGTCACACTAGCTGCAGTACAGCAAACGTGGAGTAACAGTTTCATTGTGGTACGTATCGTAGAAGCTGATATTTGTGCAGTAAAAGTTTCGAAGTGGCTACGAGAATAAGGATCCTACAGCAAAACACCTTAACGTAACTCTGTCAGTTTTGGTTTCATTAAGAGTCCACAATCAAATCGGACAGCCAGCTTTCTTGGGGAAATATCTAAGAGACGCAATTTAATTTTGTTTTGGAAAGTTGATGATCTTTAGAATATACATCCATTTATGAAGCTGAGATCAATCTCAAATCTTAAATCCGATGAAGGGCTGAGGTGGCAATACTCTCAAACAATAGTCTTGGACTTGAATCATCTACAATTTTGTGCAATATGCTTAATGAGCATGGGAAAAAAAATCCGAACAGCTGATAAACTTTTCAACCTGAAATCTTGAATGAGGACTTAACTGAAAGACTTGAAAAATATGAACAGGATTTTATTAATACCTAATCATAAATCCGTGAGCAGCAACGAAATTCTCTAAAATTCTTCGTTGTCTTCAGAATTTATGCAAAGGTTTCTGAACTTCCACGAAGTTTCTTGAGCTTTAACTCAGTTCCATGCACTTAAACGATGCTCACTAAACTGCCTTCCAATCCCTTGAGCTTATCCGAAGTTCCCTTAGCCTCTATGAAGTTCCCTGAATTTGAAGGAAGTACCGTGAACTTTTGGGAGTTTCGTCAACTTCTGCGGGTTTTTTATAGTTCTAAAAAGTGTTTCAGACTTTTTAGAAGATAACAGGATTTCTACCAAGTTTTCAGTACCGATTTGCTCATGTATCTACGATGTGTTGAAAAAATTCTGCCGTAACGCGATGCCACCACACGACGCGACGCCGCCACGCCACGTGACGTCGCCACGCCACGTGACACCGCCGCACCACGCGACGCCGCAACGTGACACAACGCCGTGACGCGACGTGACACAACGCCGTGACGCGACGCCGTTCTTTTACAAGCAATTTCAGAATAAGTTTAACGAATTAACCACTTTTAGGGATGGTGGATCAAATTCTATTGGACTGAAATTCATTTGACTGAGAGTTTTGATTAAACAGAGTTTTGGAAAACTAGTCTAAGCTTAAGTCTCTAGCAACGCTTTGCTTCTTGTACTGTACAAAATAAAACTCACAAACAATTTTTGCTGAAGGGCAAGTTATACAGCACAAGTAAATTTTTCAATATATAAGTTGTCCACTAGACTGATGCAAAATTTGAAATTTTCGCTCCACAGTGTTCAAACGGTTTCAAATCGGGCCCTGATTAGCCTCCGAAAGTTTAAACTCATTTGATAAGAAACTGACTTGGCACAAACCATTTTAAGTTTATATGGAAATTACTATGGGAAAACAAAACTTTTTGTTCATTGTCTTCTAGCCTTTTTACATATAGTACTGTTAACAAATTCTATTGCTATTCTTTTGGGAATTTTTATCAGCAACAACTTTGCACAAAATCGTTTTTCAGTCAAACGTCAAATTAAATAGTTATTAATTGTTTAAGAGATTGATAATCTTATGGCAAGATTAAGCAACTGTATTGTGGACAACACTGTATTCTGCAGTGTGACATAGTAGCCATGATTTTTGTCCTCTATTCTACGCGCCATAAACACCAATGTTGCCTGCTCAACAGTTGATTGAGCATAATCTTAAGACATCAATGACTGAGTGAACTGGTGAATTTTGAACCGAAATTATGGTTTCTCCATAGTAATTCCCATATAAACTTCAAATGGTTTGTGCTAAGTAAGTTTCTCACTAAATGAGCTCAAATTTTAAGAGCCTAATCAGGGCCCAATTTGGAACCGTTTGAGCACTGTGGATCAAATTTTGCATCAGTCTATTGTCCACACTGTAGAAAGAAAAAGATAAATATTCTCCACCCCGATGCACGCCGCTGACGGCAAAAAAATACGTCGGCGAACAGGTTTTTCGGAAGTCGCCTTCAATTTCAACAAGTCTTCAAAAATCTTCACAAAGCATGAAATGTCTTCAAAATATCTACGAGAGAAAAATGTCTACCGGATTTCCATTGTCTTCAAAATGAAGACACATCTTCAAATCTGGCATCCCTGGGCTGTACATAAACCAACCCATGGCAGCATCTATCGTATTATTCAACCGATCGTTCCCAACACCAGCAGTCCTCCCCATGATGATGAATGTCATTTCTCATTTCGCACATGGTAGGTTTTGGTTCTGTTTGAGAATCGGTCACTTTCCTTGGGACACCGCAATATATCCGGGATGGCCAGTGTGACTCTCATTATGGCCTCCACTGGTCGAATTTTGGAAAATCATTAAGTTTTATGGGTCTTTGTTCTAGTCGAAAATTTGACACTTCCCCGTGGGTACCCTGGGAACGTGCCACCCCAATGGGGGACCAATCAGGGTTTTATATATCTAGTATAAATTCACCTTTTAGATACCGATTGACGATTTTAGTGAGCTTTGATTGCATGAAATTATGCTGCGGGCGGTCAAAGGTAAATCATAACTGGAAGAGGTATTCAGTGGAAAACCTCAAATGATTACAATGTAAATTAAAGAACCAAATAGTTAAGACAGCGAAAAATGAAAGCTTCGTGCGGTTAACGAGGTAGCATTCAAAACTCCTATTCGTGTTTAAATATCGGAGACGATGTGCGAGGAGTGTGGGTCTACTAATTCATGCAGAAAAAAAATACCAAAAGCACCTACATAACTAATCTAAATTTTCAGCTTGCGTTCCGTCGAGAGATGCGGGGTGGTTGGAAAAGCGAAAGTGGCACTAAATTTAGAACTAATAGTATTTCTCTGCTTTTACTCGAGGTACGAAGGGGACTTGTATTAGCATTACTTTACACTAAATGTTATACACTCTCAGAGAAAAAAAAAAAAAAAAACGGGAATGACTGATTGTGAAAACGATTAAAGACTGCCGATAAATACCTTCATCATCTTCGCCGTTGATCGGAGTGGCCATGTCCTCGTGCTGGGTGCTGAACCCGATCCAGCCCTTTTCTTCGACCACATCACTCTCGATGGCCGCTTTGCCCCGGCTGGTGGTTGAGGTGGATTTCTTTTTCAGCGCAGATGCCTTGGGCGAGGGCGTCGCAGTTGGGGTGGATGCGATCTTCTTCGGCGATGGCTTCGGAGATGGTTTCGGCGATACTGCCTTCGGGGCTAACTTTGAACCCGGCTGCGATTCGAACTCGTCGACATTCAAGATTTTATGGTTCTCGTCGAAACTGACTCGACGCGGTGAGGCGTGCTTTTTTCGACCGGAGGAAAGTTCTTCGGCGGACGAGGACATAGAAACGCTGCTGCGCTCCTCCGGGATCACTTCGAAGCGTTGCGTGTATTTGCCACTGTTGGCCGAACGTCGAGGCGTGGAACTGTTCGAAGCGATGTTCTTGCGACTCGATGGCGATCGCTTGGATTTGTCTTTCAGATCTTCAGGAGATTTGACGAACTTGACACCGACGTCATCCGGATTGGAGAGGGCCTCAATCAGCAGGTCAGCAATCATTCGATCGACTTTCGGATTGCTTCCGCCTGTTGATAGGGGACTATTCTCCCTGGAGGAGGAACTTGGCCTGTATCGACCCCATCTGTAGATGGGAACAGGAATACGGGATTTACTGTGACTGGAACGTTTACCACTGCCGCTTCGAACTCGTGGTGGCCTGCGGGGAGCACTGTCTGCGCACTCCACAATCTCCAGAATTTCGATATGCTTATCACCTTCTTGGATCTCGGTTTTCTGGTACATTCGCCTTGGGCCGCCTTCGATGTCCGGAGTAAGGTCCGCGTGCGGATACAGAGTCATTTGCTGGACATCCTTCAACACGTGCTTCCTTCTTACATCCGCTGGAGTCTTCTTAGGCGTTTTGGACGATGCAGTCGTCGTTGCCGTAGCTGTTGCCGGATGGAATGAAGACTTGGACGTAGTCGGTGCAGATTGAGCATCGCTGCTGGACTTCTGTCTCCGCTCAGCTGCTTGGCCCCATGGACTTTTTGCAGATTTTTTCGTGCTTTTTGCATTAGCCGTTGATGCACCAGCAGCACCAGTAGCACCAGTAGCACCAATATCCGGGGATTGAATCTGCATGTTTCCACGGGCATCGATTTTGTAGGATTCAAGCATTCCGAGCTCTGTACGGGAGGCGCTCCCCTTCTTCTTTCCTTTCGGGACTTTCGGAGTGAAAGCGGACGTTGGTCCAAACACCCGCTTCTTCTCCGCAGGAGGAATGTACTCTTTACGACTAATGGCTCGATCAATCGTACTGATCACCTGGATTGCAGGTTCGCCGTAGAATTTGCGCTGCTCGATCAATCGCATCACTTTCCGATGTTTCTTGAGACTTTCCTGTTCTTTCTTCCAGGTCATCAACCGTTGACGGTTGTTTAAGCGTTCCTTGAGCCGCATCGGCATTGTATCGGCAACTATGATGTGTTCGTCGAGTATCACAGTAGTATCCTGTATGGGAACGAAGAAAGATTCGCCTTTCTCGTGCCGTGGTGATTTGTCCGAACTTTCGGATTTGGTGGTTGATTCAGCGGTAGGCTCGGCTGGAGTTGTCGAAGCTCGAGCCGGAGATAGTGGAGCAAGCGATTTTCTTCGATCGGGTTTCCTTCGGGGAGTGATTTCCACTTCATCCAGGCTATCGACCAGGCTTGGAGTGTCCGAATCGTAGCCATTGTTTCCGGGTAGGTCGTCGAACTCTTCCGCGGAATTTGAAGATGGCTGCACTTCCATGGACTCGGTCCGAGGAAGGGCAGATATGCGAGGAACTATGGTAGATCTCCCGTGGCCATTATCCCGGTAGACAGATCCCAATCCGATCTTACTGATTATCTGAACTTCGGGTTCCGAAGCTATATCGGTGTTATCGGATGGATCCGTGTCGATACCGTACGACGGGAAGTAGTATTTCCCGTTGAGATCTATCTCCGATGGAAGTCCATCAGAATCTCGGGAACCGTTTCTCGGTACCAAGTAGAACCCATTAGTGCTCGATTGCTTTTCGCCCAGTCCTTTCTTCTTGAGTACGTAGTGAATTGAAATTTTACCATTTTCCTCCGAGCGATTGTTATTAATTGTGTCTTCGTTTTCTTTTTCACTGTCCTTGTCGACGGTGCTTTGCTGATGCTTGAGTTTATTGCTCGGGTGGTCTGGAGGTGAATTGCATACCACCCCACCGCCCCCTCCAATGTACTTTTCCGTTCCTTTATGTTTCATTGCGTCGACCTCTGGCGCACCGCTATCGGCTGGATCTATCGATTTTGGTTCTTCTATTTGTTTGTTGTTGTTCTTTTGATCTGAACTAGTGACACTGTTAGCAACAATTTCTTTCGTATCTAAAAGATTGTTCAAATTATCCACCAATAAATTTGAAATGTATTCATCCAGTCGTGTTTCGTTTTTTAATACGTCCGCTCTCGTTAGAGTGTCCAATTTATTTCTACTATCACCCGCGTAAACACAATCACTATCGGTACTTTCGGCGGAAATACTAATTGCACTACTGCTGGCGTTGCTACCACGCCGCGCAATTTGTTTCTTCAACGGAAAATGTCCCTCTTCTGTCTCTCTGCCAGCACCAGTGACCTTCACAGCAAAGTCTCCTGGTGCTGAATCGTTATCAACATTCTCAGTACGTTTTCGAGAATGTACATCAACATCAGTATTACGACCGCGCTCAGTAGGAGTTTCCCGATGATTTCGATGATCTTGATAATCATCATTCCGTGCGATGGCTTCCTGTTTTAGAAACTCACTGATTTCACTTTCGTTATCGTGCGCGTTCAGAACAGAACTGGTAGCATCATTACCGTCTTCGTCGCCGCGTTCGTGTTCGCCGTTATCGATTAATGTACCTTCTTCACTTGCTTCAAGGATAGTGCCAGTGCTGCCAGCGCGTCCGACCGGTCGGACACACGCCTGGGATGCTATCGAGGAAGTGCTACTGGTAAGATCTGCCTCGTCAAGCTCGACTTCGTCGTTAGTGCTCATGAAGACGAAGTTACGCTTGGATCGGTCATGGATGACCTCTTCCTTGCGTTGGATCAATGGGGTATTCGTGGCCCCAGTGGTACTGGAAACCTCCGGTTTCGAACTTTTGGTCGTTACACTTGCACTGTCGTCCACCAGACCCTCACTGGAAATCAGCTGCCTATTGTTAGGAGTGCTTGTCCGACTCAATGCTTCCAAACTGTCACCCTTCTGAAGGTTAATGTTATTCAATGAACCGGCGAGCCGAAGCCTTTTCGGCGACTCATTAGCAGCCAACTTGCCACCTCTAGCGTTACTGTTGTACTGACTTTCCAGCTTCGCACATTCCTTACACGAGGTCGTCGTGGTCGTCGCAGAACTCCCGTCACTACTACCACTACCACCACCACTGGCCAGCAACCCCTCCGGTGGAAGAATACTCTCAATGCTATAAATCCGACGTGGTGCCCGCCTCAGCGGTGGAGACCAACTGCCGGACCGATCGTACCGTCGCATTTCTTTGCTCCACATCCTCCGCAGCAGGGTCGATTTTCTCATCGAGAAATCCCCGCCACCACCACCCACGCCCAGGACACCTGCGCCACCCAACCCTACGCTGACCCCGGTGCTACCGACAATATAGTTGTTATTATTATTAGTGCTACTATTAATACCATTGACACTACTACACTTTTGACTACGACTAATACCACCTAGGGACGACGGTTGGCGCTTCATAGTGGCCAGATTCGACTCGGACCCGGTCGAAGCTAGCGCGTGGAAGTCGCCGCTCCCGCTCTCCACACTACTAGCCGCCCTCGTAATCGATTTCCGGTGAACTAGAACCGGTGACTGTGGTAGTTGTTGTTGTTGTTGTTTGCGTTGTAGAATCGGCGATGCCTTGCTGTTGCCGCGTGTCATTGGCCCCCCGCTACCGCTATTCTGTTGCTGAAGTTTAGGGGATTGCGAGGGGTAGTAGTTTTTGTTGTTCAGGACGATGTTGTTGTGGTTGCTGTCGTGCGGTGGCTCGTCATACGACTTCTGCTGGGCTAGGGTATGTCTGCAAGCAGAAGGTGGGGAAGGTCAGAGCAGGGGCATGATGGAAGAAAGAAAGAAAAAGTTTTGTATTAGTGGTTGTCCGGCTGTAATTATTCACCCTGATATGGTTGGTAGCGAAAGTGAAAGAACGGGAAGGCTTCGTGGGCACCTCGTAGGGAACCCATGATTTACAACTTTCGTATTTGTCACATTAAATGAATAGGAGTTCACTAGACGTGTATTTGTGATGCCATAATTTTTGGGTTTGAATTTAATAGAAGGAGAGTTTCGGATACATACACAGCAAAAAAACAATTTTAATATTACATTCAAGAGGATGCACTTCAATTATGGCGAAAATCTCATGTAATTTTTATGGCCACAATAATAAACAAATGTACTGCATTAAAGATAATTTTGTCCTTTTTGGCAAGTAATATTACACCATATTTTCGACACGATTGAAGTGCATCCACTTTGATGTGATATTGAAATTATTTTTTTGCTGTGTACAGTATCGTACCGAATTTAGGATTCACTTATTAAACTTGGTTTTTGCACGTTCATGATTGGTTTGAATAATGCAATGTTGGTATAGCATGTTATTAGCCTCATAAGGGCTTTTGATTAAATAAGTGGATTGATGTCTATTTGGAATATCTAAATTCGATTTGAACCACCCGAAAATGTTGCAGATCCGAGGGGCATGGCTTGAATTCGTCGTGAATAAATTGAGTGTTGAGCGTAACTGTAAGAGAAGGATTCATCCAGGACTAACGAATTTAAATGAGATCAATATCTCTTGAATAAGGCTAAATGTCGAGGAAAGTCTTGCAATTATTCTGGGTGCGGGACATGTCCGGGAGGGTGCTGTGCTTAATAGCTCGAAAAGTCGAGAGCGTGGTTCACAGGCTTGGGCTTAAGTCGTGACTTCATTCGCGTGATGAGTAGACTTATGTCCAACCACTACTCGCTAGATGTGCATCTCAATCTCGTGGACAGCAACATCTGTCGGTGTGGAAACGGTTACGATGACACGGTGGACCATAATATCTTGCTTGCCAAGCTGGAGATATTTGGCGTCTCGTCAACGGCTGTGGATTGGTTCAGATCTTACTTGGTGAATATCTATGTACGGGTTAAGATTGGCGCGTCGGAATCGAATGTTTTCTCAAACAACTCGGGAGTTTCGCAAGGCAGTAACCTAAGACCGCTACTGTTTTCGATCTTTTTAAACGACGTCGCCTTTCTGATACCATCAGGATGCCGCGTTTTCTATGCAGACGATACGAAAATCTACAAAATTATTAAAAGTCTCTCGGACTGTTGGGATCTCCAGAATATGTTAGGTATTTTTGCTGATTGGTGCTCAAGAAATTTGATGAGTCTAAGCATCGAAAAGTGTAACATTGTTTCCTATCACCGAAAAATCGAACCAATCATGTTTGACTATGTTCTCTGCGGACGCTGTCTTGCTCGTGTAGAGCACATAAAGGATCTCGGCGTTACCTTGGACTGCAGACTCACTTTCAGAATCCACTACAATGACATCATCTCCAGAGCTAATCGACAATTGGGCTTTATTTTCAAAATTGCCGACGAGTTCCGTGACCCGCTATGCCTCAGGTGATGATGATGATGATGATGTTGGTCCTACAAAGGTTTGAGCTGGACGATTTATCTATAAGATAATTAAATATGACATTTTAACCAGGTTAGCAAACAAAATCGAACTGGTTTCAGTTACAGATATAAATTCCCTTTAGAGTTTACAGTTGCTTTACAGCGATATAAATGTGGAAAAGCTCAGGCGTCCACCTCTTAGTTCGCCTTTTTGTCCAACTAAAATATTCATAAGTATTACAAGCAAACAATCATTTGCCAGAAAACTTACTACTAACTCAAGGTATCTTCCAAATAAGCTTCAAAATTGCATTTTTTTTATCAAATGTTAAATTCAGCCCTCTATATCCGTAATACGCGCGTGAGGCTCAAACCTTTGTAGACTATTTTTTTTTTAATTAATCTACTATTAAATCAAATATTAAAATCCTTCATCACCATCGTGGCGAACAGAAATAGTTTTTGCAGTGCTACAATAATTATTAAAAAAAGTCGTTAAGACATCTATCCATATAAAATAATCCGTTAGAGATAACTTCGTCAAGATACATAATTTGTCAATCCATAAAAAAATCACTGGATAACTGTTCAAAAGACTGTTTTAACGTGTGAAATGCAGTGTCTTTTAAATTCTGTAAGTGTTGCTGAACGTTTGATATGTCTAGGCATCGAATTGAAAACATTTATTCCTTTATAATATAATGAATTATCACAATATAAAATATTGTGAAGCACAAGTCAAGAAATGTGCTGTTCTTATTTCAACCGCGTTTCTAGTTTTATATCTATGAAAGTCACTTCCTCTTTCAATTCGATCACACAAATATCGAGGCAGCAAACCGTTAACTGCTTTAAAAATGAACACCATAGTCAAATATACGATTCTTTGCTTCACCGACAACCATTGTAAGGCGTCTAGCATCAAAGTTGAGGAAGTGAATCTATTGCATCTCAAAATCAAACGCATTATTTTACTCTGCAAGCGCTGTAATCTCGATATTTGTGTTGCATTGGCCAGAAATAAAATGGAAAGGCAAAAGTCAAGATGAGGAGAGATGATTGATTTGTATAGCTGTATATTACTGGCAATAGTTAAATCGTTTTTCAGTCTACATTGAATTCCATACTTCTTGGCAATTTTCTTGATGACATTGTCAATGTGAGAGTTGAACTTAAGTGTGTCATCAATAATCACGCCAAGATATTTAATCTCCCGAACGCGATCAATAGTCTCATCATCAATTACAACAGAGACGCTCTCATTTACTCGATTCCGCGAAATTACTATAAATTTAGTTGTGTTAAATTTCAACTGCTTATACTTCAACCATATACTTAGAGAACGCAAATCTTCATTCAAGTGTAAAACGGCATCATCTAAATCCTTAGCTGCAGTGGATAACACAGTATCATCTGCAAATAGATTAATGTCGCAAAATCGTAAAACACGTCGCAAGTCATTAATATACATAATAAATAACAGGGGCCCTAATACACTTCCCTGGGGCACTCCAAGGTTATTCCCCACGGGACTGCAAACAGAATCATTAAAAACAGTCCGTTGAGTTCTGTCAGACAAATAGCTTTCAAACCATTTATATGCAGTACTCGTAATTCCAAAGCGCTTGATTGATCTTAACACTAAGGGTCCAGAAAATGTTTCATAAACGCGTTTAAGATCAAAAAAAAAAAAAAAAAAACTGCAACAATCGTATCTTTACACTCCAAATTATTTTTCCACTTCGCTAATACCTAGTTCAACGCGGTTTCACAAGAATGACCTTCCCGATATCCCGATTGTTCTGGTATCAACAAACTATTACTACTTAAATACTCCAACAGCTGGCCTTGAACAACAAGTTCTAAAATGTTCTCTAATGTGTGCAACATGTTGATGGGACGAAACTCTTCGGCTTGAATCGTTCCAGCAACTTTTTGAATAGAGACCACTAAGGATTCCTTCCAAATTTGTGGTACATGTCCAGTTTGTAATGATTCATTAATAAGGTCCAGCAAGATGTGGCCAATGACATGAAAGCAATCTTGAATAACTCTAGCATTAACATTATCTACTCCAGCCGATTTTCCTAATGAAAAACAAATAACTCTAAGTTCATCTAATGCAATTGGGTGAAAAACAAATATACAAATAAACAAATAAAAATAAAAATCGATCACGCAGTTTGAAAATGTACGGATAATGACGCCGCCAGAGAGTGACTTTTGAATACCCTCTGTTATTTTTCACATGTTCTGGGTTGGATCATCATTTTTAAATCATAGCTACCTCATTTATTTACTTCTGTCCATAATTTAATTATGATCCTAAAAGTGAAAAATACATTCCTATGGGATACAGCCAAAACGTGCTTAAGAAGTACGATGAAATCAGATAGATTAGCAGGTATGCAAAATTTCAGATGTGGATGACAGTTTCTACTTGAATAATACCGAATACATCATATCAAGAAGACTGGCAACTTTTCCAGAATCCAAGCGACAGATACAATAGCGCTGCGCTTGAGTGAAGGTGGAAGCAACGCATGAGCATGAGCATGCTTGACCGCCCGCGGTTGCTACCCTGTTATTGCCAGACCAGCTGAAATTACACAGAGAACCAATAGACGATGCTTGGGACTAGCAATCATCCTCAATGTGTAAAAACTGGTGATCTCAAATTAGGCAATACCAGCGCCAGCCGCGCCTGAACGCAGGTCAAGAAAGGAATGGGTAGGAATGTGTTGACGTGACACTCGCTTTGATGGAAGCCGAGGAGTCCTCTGCACTTCCACGATGAATCACAGGGATGTTGGGTAAAAGGGTTGGGTTTGCAGCAGGGTTCGTTTTGGTAAACGATAAGCTGAATTGATATCCTAACGATCGTATAACGCAAAGGAGCTTGGGATTGAACCCACGGTCTTCTGCTCAGTAAGCAAAAACGTTTGCTACTAGGCAAACGAGCTCCTTTTTAATCATCGAGTTGCTGTTATTACCATGTAGTCATATTAACAAATAAAACGATTGACGAATCTTGATGTGGATGGGCTTGAGATTAGACTCAAGATGTTCTGCTCAGTAAGCAAAAACTGTTGCTCTAAGGCCACCAAGCCCCTCATATCACATCATACCGTTACCCAAGTTGTTATAACTATTCAAACCCGGCACCGACGACAACGAAAGGTTTAGCAAAATACACGATAAACAAGCGATCTTACCATACATTTTTAATATGAAAGGACCTGGGACCGCGTTTTTCTTCTCAGTAAGCAAGCCACTGCAACCGACGATCTTTCAAATCCAAAAACAAAAGGCTACGAGAAGGTATTTAGGCCTTGAGTAAATTCCACTATCACGCGACGTTCAATGTTTCGATTTGCTCTTTACGCATTGTTCAGGCAA